AACTTGACTGAGTCACTCTGTTGTTTTTCCACCCTCTTCAGACAAATTCCTTACAAAACATCCCTTTTACATCCCTACAAAGGAGGAAAGTGAATTGTGGTGTGCCGAATGCCGTTTTTACACTCAAGTAGCTAGTTTCTATGGAAACGTGATTCACTTTTCGCGTGGCCGAACGTCAAGACATCTTGACGTGTAACTCATTTGCATTCTGCTCTGTCCCAGCTTATCTGCGTGTCTAAAAACTCTTAGCCTTGTACTCAATTCGATGAATGGACCCATTCTTAAATGTTTCGAGATGAAGACGGATTTTTTTCCTTCGCCCTTAAACATCTTAAAACGCCAAAAGATTACTTAATGTGGTTCTTGAATAAATGTCTCGCGATTCAACTTTAATATCCTTAAGTAAACTGCAACATCGTTGATAAGTAATAGATTTAAGTTGCATTTGTCATCAAAGTGATCGTTATGAAAAGTCCCAGAAATATTATTGGAATCAGTAATCGTAATATTTATTACTTTCATTTCGGAAGAAATTCCTCAGATCAAAAGTAGTTAAATTCGAAAATTAGGTCATGAATTCATAGTATATTGATTTATCTATTGATTTCATTTGCTGTAATTTCATGGTGGGGGTTTCTTTTTCCTTGAAGTCATTACTTCGATTCTAGACTCATCATTCTAGTTATAAAGGAGCTGTCACAATCGGTGGTTAACACCGGACAGTATATAATCAATCACGCCACCCGACAGTGTTCAACATACCGCCCTCGCATGTCAGTGGTAAAGGCAGACCCCATAGAAAGATTTTATCGTCAGAATGTGTGCCTCATATGCATATAGCACCCCGCCCCCCAAAGCAAATTCTCGTAACCTTCAACAAAGCTGGAAGGTTGACCCACTCAGGCGTCTGTGTCCATTAACATATCGGGGTGCGTTGCTAAGCAACGCACAGTAAAAACACTCCAAGCCATTCGCTGGCTGCCTGCTTATTTGTTTGTCCATACTTCGGGGAAACAAATCGATCTCATTAATAGCCTAGTATAATCCTATTTTCAATTAAAAACGTTAAAACAACGAATGAAATTGAACTTAAACAAAGACAAGGGCATGAAAACGTGGTTTTGACTCTGTAGTCAGTCTTGTTACGTGGTTACCAAAATTTCAAAGGAACCTTTCATCTCCACCTTCGAGGTAGTACATGGAGGTAACAGCTAACTCGAGAATATTTCTAGTTACCTACAAGTCTACACGGCGTCCCAGACTGGCAGATCACATTAAAATTATGTGGCCTGTGACTTTTTCTCAGACGATAGCTGTTTCTTCATTGTAGAGAAAATAATGTTCGTAAATTGAAAAGAATGTATCAATTTACGTGGTTCGTTGCAGGGAAAATCCTAAGATATCGTATTGTTCATATCGTTAACTTATTAATTAAAGTTTGAATACATCCTATACGGAAGCGAGCGCCCTAAACGTTATAACGCGGTTCTATCGATTTTAAGAAAGTGAGGTTAGATTGATTTCGTTTTACGCTGATGATATAACAGAACTGTAAATTCACACAGATGATACTTCCCACGCGAAATATTAAACTTTAATAAATCCTAAATTACGCGTATTGATTACAAATTGATGACACGAATAATAATTTAATACAGGGTGGGAAAGACTTTTCTGGTCCCAGTAGGTGAAATGTAGCTAAACTTTAAAAACTGAGTGGGATTCTGTGCAAATTACATCAGTGGGCCTACATTTCATAACGGATATCGAGTCTCCATAACGGACTGACTTCAAGTTCATACCACCGATACGATTTTCAAAATTCTTCAACCGTGATTAATAAAAATACGTGTATATATATATAAATACCAGTCACTATTATCAATAATAATAATAATAATAATAATAATAATAATAATAATTTCAAGTTAATTGCTGCTTGATATCCAATCCGAAATTCAAACACGTTAATTTTGTATTTAAGTTACTCATTTCTTGTTATCGTACACAGTTCCACGTCATATTCTTCGTCTACTTCCCCTAATTCTGAGCACTCTTTGTCAAAATATTTGTATTATCTTTAATATTTTTCAAGCTCAGATATCTGCACATTTATCCAAGTATTTCAAAGGCACAGATACATTGATTATTGTAACCTGAAAACCGTTCCTCTTAAGATAAATCTAAAATAACAAATTTCTTTAACATAATCCAACATCTTAATATAATAATACGATGGATAATGTCCAGATTTAATCCGAGTTAAATATACCTCACTTAAAACTTCGCCCTTATTTCTTCAACAATGACATTGATTAGCGGATTTGAATTCCTTACCTTTTAAATGGTGTTCTTAAACTTCCTACTTGCAAAAGATGAAACAACTGTTCTTAAAACTGTAAATGAGTTTCTGATAAATAACTTAACGCTGGACTCTTTCAACCTGCCCCTTCCCGATCCATTTTTCAATCTTGCACTTCCTGTAGCTCACGGTCCGAGGTCGTCATTCGTAGTAAATCATCTGGAGTGCATTTGTCCTGAAGATAGACAAAAGAGTTGTTTAACGCTGCGCTGAAGACTCGGCAAATGTGTACACATTTTCATAAAGTAAAGAAAAAGAAACAGTGACCAGTTTGGCAGTCGGCCAGAATTGATACTCTGTGAAACTTGTCATTATTTTCTTCAGGCTATCCGGGAAGATTCTTGATCCCTATTTTTAAGTACCTCTGAAACGTCGGTAAACTTCTACCAGACTACACGGCGCTACAACCCAGAAAATAGTAATCTTTAAATTAAAAATTAATTCCCAAGTTTTGAATGACTTATTCTCATGATTTAATTATACCTGTTGCAACTGTAACTACTTCTAATTGGGTGGAAATACGAACATAATTTACGAATGAAATGAATTCAAAAACTTTATTGTGGTCCAGTTGAATTTCGCAAGCATTCGTTCGGAAACGAATATATATGGAATTAACGTTCATTTCGGATTATTTTAGCACGCCATTTAATTGAAAAACTATTTTTAATATTAAAGTTCGGCATTAAGCAACTGACCCTTGTACTGGATACGTGTTTTCTTTGAGGTACGGACTGAATATTTAAGTTTTATTTAGATTAACTTCGTGCTTCACAGGGCTAAACGTTATATATAGTTTAATTTACACCAACAGTCTCTTCGAAACATACAACTTTCATACAAAACAAATCAACAATACATATACAATTTTAAGAATTAACATTACCTTGAAAAAAAAACAAGATCATCACTGAAGCAGGAAGTCACTGTCCTGTTTTTATTTGCCTGCGTGCGGTACACAAGTAACTGCACTGTTAATTTTGAAAGGACTTTTATTTACATTTAAAGACAAACACTTTTATTGGGGGAAGGGTGTGAGTAAGACAACCTACGAATTTTTCAAACACGTTGAACGGCGGAACACATATCACAGGTCACTCGCAAGCGAGATACTAAGCAGAGCACGAGAATACGCAGCCTGCACGACATCGTTCGGGAGATTCGTGAACTAACTCAAAGATCTGAACAACGAATGAATGTCGATATATCGATTTCCAGGAGTATGAAACTGCCAGAATTTGCAGTCCGCAGTGGCAACTTGGTCGGAGGGACCGTGGGTTCGAATCCCACTCAAGCCATGGATGTTTTTCTGTGTTATGTCCTGTTTACAGGTAGAGGCCTTGCGACGGACCGATCCCTCGTCCAAGGAGTCCTACCGAATGTCTATAGATCAAGCCAACTGAAAAGTTGGGGACCCGTAAAGATTACCGGGAAATGTACAAACATTGTTCAACCGGAAAAAGAAGAAGAAATAGAACTTGCCAAATTTTGAACTACAGTTTGTGTGCCAGAATTTTCTTTTTTTGAACTGCACACATTCTAAACAAAAATAAATAAAAAAATGTCACACCCAAATTAAGACAATCAATCATGTAGCAACCTGGGAAGGAATTAATTATCTTGGAGGACCATGTGATAAAGTACTTCTCTGATAGATGAATAACAAGAATAATAATTACCAGTTTCTGGTTCTTGGCTTGTTTGCCCAAAGTTACAACAAAGTGGCCAGATTATATGAGGTGCCACTTTATCCGCAATAAATCTCACATTTATGAAACCAAAAAATCAAGCGTCTACCTACATCATGGCATGGTTGTATCTCATACAAGACAAATAAATCCTACAGCTGGGACTGCAAAATAGGCAAACATCATAAAATGCAAATGGAGTTGGATTACAGCAGGAAGGGACTTGTATGCTAAAATCACTACATTATGGAAAAGAGAATCGATGAAAAGATTGCATTTTGCATTATGGCTTAGAAACAGACAATGGAAAATAAGACTATCTTCAAACTGTAAATCTCATGGACATTTCAGCATTTAAAACATAATTCTTTGGTGCTCACTGACGGCCAATAAAAATTACACATGACTTGAGCTCTTCTTACTAAACACCAAAGAATTTGCAACATAAAACTTTCACAACAACCAATCATTGGATCTTTACTGACAGAATCAGTAGTAGAACACAGTGGTGAATTATAATTATTAAATTTTGGAATTCTATCAACAAAATAATGTGAAGCACTATGGTATCATCTTAAAGTAGATGAAATAAGAGATCATTAAATACCAGTATACTGTTTTTGAAAGTCACTGGATGAAAATTAGGTGTTACATGGCAAATATGGTTAACCTTAGGAGATATAGTACTGTCAGTTCCAGAAAACAATTTCTTAAGGTCATGGGACTCAAAGTCATAAGGTTCCAACAAGAGGTAAACCACATACATACCACTAAATAGAAGTTTAGTTTCTCTTGTGTCTCCTCATACTTCAACGATCCTACCTTTAATATGTCTCATACCCATCTCCAGTGTATTCAGCTCATCACCAATTTTAGCATAATGCACAGAATGCTACTTTTCACAAATTTCCATCTACAACACTTACATGGATGATGAGTGATGTACTTACTGTAAAATGCAGCATGTAACAAGGTTAGAAACTCCACTGAGCCTACATTTTTTATTGCACATTGCACTTCAAGCATAGTTTTGTACTAAGTATAAGAAAAATGGCACAATGTATTATTTGACTGTTTCCCCATTTTTGTGAGAAAAGAGGTTAGACTGCCTATTAGTTATTCTCTTTCTATAAATGAAATTCCTACAAGAAAATAAATGTTTTAATAAGTCGCCTGTAACACAGTCACAAAATTTATCTTCCATGATGCACAATCACAAATAACAACACGGCACACGTGTACCCAATTAAAATCGCGAGAATTATGATGCAGCGTGCTACGTCAAACGAAAGAACGCAAGCAAATAGCGTGTTAGCAATCGAGGTTTGGCAAACATCGTAGGTTTGAAGATCACGCAGCCCCTTCGCTCCGCAACTGTGGACTGTTTGCTTCTCTTCTCTGAGCAAATACCAGGCCCACTTTAAGCCAAGACTACGTGGCTAACGTCTCTGTGCTTGGAGCTGCTAAAGATGCATTTTATATAATCGATTTTCTGTGTTCTGGAGTACCACTGAACCACGAAAGTAAGGCGTTTTATTTTAAGCTTTTCAGTGTTAGCCAGTTAACATGCACGCTTCTCCCCTGGCCTAGTCTTTCTTAACTATTCATGACCTTTGGTTAACAATAGTTACTCTCATTACCTTTAGTTGTATTGTGTACTGATTACCATGATCACTAACCTCCCCTCAGTGACTACCATTGTAGCCTTTGTTGCAGTGGTTACCAAACTAAATGTAAGGTTAACATGGCTTCCATAGTTGTCTTCATTACCTAGAATGCGATGTCCATGTTTGTTCCAATGGTTCCCATGTTTATGTAAGTTATCATGGATCCCTTGGTTTCTAATGTGACCTTGATCACATTGGCTACCATCATTCCTTTTGTTACCTCAGTTTCCATGGTTATTATATTTACCTTGATTACTGATGAGTCAGTTCAAATATCTCATAATGTTATGGCCTAGCCTTTCATAACTTAACCTAGCCTAGAAGGATCTATGGAATGTAAATAAACTCTACTCTACTCTAATCCAGACTAATGTTAACATACTCTAGCTGAACCTATCACAGCCTAACCCACTATGTTCATATCACTGACTTGAGGAAACTGGAAAATATAATTTTACAGCACATCCCAATCATCTAATATCCATGGTCAGCCCTATATGACCATATGGACAGATAGCCATGGACAGCCAGTCCTATATGCATCTGACTCCAAAGCTAAGCGAGTTACATCATGCAGAAAGATGGATATGGCCACCCCTATATGCAGACAGAGAGATGAACAGATGGTCAGCCCCATATACATGAAGTGCATTTAAAGAATGTATCAGTAAATTAGGAAATGGAAATATAAAGCAAATAGAATAAAACAAGATACCTAATTTATTTCTTAACCACTGTTCACATGTAACTGATGTAATACAACTGAACAGCATGACTGACTGCATCATATAGAATAATAATACAATGAAATTATGTATTTTAATGTTAACAATATAAAAGTGAGGTAACTAGAAAGAAAAGAAAACTTTTGCTTCCACATAAGGAAATAAAATGCTATTCATAGTTCAAAATACCTTGTTTACAATCAGCAATATCAATTTATTAAGGCCAATTTTCTAACAATAAAACAGAATTTAATTACAAAGAAGTACTGATGAATCCATACTCAAAACAAGTTTTCAGTACACCAACAATACAGTCAAATTTTAATCACATGTCAAATACCATGAGAAATAAATATGAAGTCTTTAACTGGAAAATGCAAACCATAAATATGGAACTGAAAAAAAGGGAACAATTTAAAGTCATGTACTCTGTTATCAAATTATAATATTCCAACTATGAATGTAAAATCTATAAATGAGAAGTATAGGGTACTTAACTGCAATTTCTAAGTATAAAATTAAATGATGATACGACAGGTAAGGTGAGCTTTGAGAGAAATGACAATGTAAGAACATTTATTCAATCAGAAATTCTGACTTATAACATGTGCAAATTGCTCAGCCCAAGATATTCATGTACAAGAAAGGAGATCACTGCTAACAATAAGACTACTAATGCATGAAGAATGAAACCATTTCCCAGTCAATGTAAAGAATACTTTAGTGTGACTATTACACATAAGTACTTTCAACCAATCTGAATGTAACAATATATTCTTATTTATTTGATTGGTTTGTACTTTATGTAATTCTATATAAGTGCTATTCTTAAAAAATACATTATATATTTATATATTTATATTGTGCAGCTGTGAAAAATACATCACAATTATATATAGCCCCATATACCCTGTATAATTTACAATAGATAATTACAAGAGAAGTATATTATACAATATTTATACCTTTTAAAATGTGCCCAAAGTGCACTGTTTAGAAGGAGGTACTTGGGTACACTTTAAAAATTACCACACCCTTATTTTAAATAACAGTACAGTACAATCACTTCAATAATCACTTGCTACAATTAGCTATATATTACATGATCCCATCACTGCAATGTGGTTTGATCACTTGTATCATTATTGAGCTTTACGCCTATGACTCATAGTTTTCGTAAGACTGCCACAAAATGTGGAGGAAAGGTTTCGCACTCTAGATGCACCATTAATAACCGTAACAAATCAACAGCAAATATAACTGAACACTTAGTTATAATAATAATATCTTCCTTATGCCAGTGTTCTATGAACTGAAATGTATTATGGTATGGTCAGTCTCCACCACAAACTGGTCCTCCAGTATGGGAAATCTGTCTTTTGAAATTCGTTACAAGACACAGAATATCCTTCATATAATTATTCCTTCTGGGTATAAACATCACATTTCTTGTCCTGTATTATTGATCGTATACGACACACAATCCTATACTTGAATTTTACACTTGAATATCAATGATTGTGTATAAAATATGTAATGGAATGAAACAGAAGTATAAAAACATTTATATGGTAAACCACATGCTAAGTCTGTTTGAACACAGGCATATATAAATTAAGAAAAAATCTTTTTGAATTACTTTTGAAATATATCATCCAAACAATACAACTGAACCTTTTTAATTATTTTCCTATTTAATGTAAAGCCTTAATATTATTGTATACATTTTTAAAGATCCCCTTTTTGGTACTATAAATGGTACTTTTTGAATTACATTACATTACCTAAAATTCTGAACAGTACATCATAGTAAACTCTCATTAGCCAGAGAAATTCTCATTCACACAAATTGGCAAAAACAACAATATAATTTTCATCAGATGAATCAGAATCAGTGTTCAAAGTGTAACCTTTTAGTCATATAAAACGGTACAAAGCAAACACATCTTTGGGAATGTCCCTCGAAAATATCTAATGGATTTGCGTGCTAGTAGATTTTCTGGTAATTCAAAATTAATGACAGTGTAAGACATATTTAAAGAACATTAATTATGACCATGGAATAAAAACGTTTTGAAATATTCTTTTAAAGATAACACTATATTAACGTGCACAGTTTATCCAGTACAATCTTATAAGAACTGAAATTAATTCTTTCATACAAAGTTTGTACAAACTGTCAACCATTGTGATGGATAAGGAATGAATAACTTTTACAAGCAGGATGCTCTCAAGGGATTTTCACATCACACTGCCTCAGAACTGCTCTCAATCCAGACAAATGTAAAACTAGTGTAATTTATAGGTTATACTCAAGTGTCAAATGTGAAGTAATTATCACATCCTCAAGTGCAGAATTTTAGAGAGTAATAGTTTTTGAGCCTGAACCAAACCATTAACAACACAGATTTCAATACATCAAAAACACACACACACATATTCAGGACATTACTCTGTAATACAGAGGTGAACCAAGATAAACTTTATGGTACATTACTAATGATAACGAATCTGGATTTTAATTCATAAAACCTACCGGAGAACTTCTGCTATGATTGGCGAAGTTCTGATGGTTCTGTTCTCAGTGTGAATGTACAGATATGGAGTCAAAAATGTTTGTGGTTTATATATATAGTAAATCTATACCTAGATTAAAACATTACTTCAACCTGATATGCTCGATAAAATTAAATGTGTAGACTTTTGTAACTTCCTTGGTGTGACAATTTCTAAGACTAAAAAGTAATTCTCGCACTTCTATGTATCTATAAAAACATTAATCCTTCCAGTTTCATAGAATAAAAACAAAAAGGAACTTAAAATCACTGATGTATGGTGGACTCAGTGTATAATGCTGCATCTTGAATTACAGATAACTTTACACTGAAAAGGCAAGTCTTGTTTATGATGCACACAAATTTCATAGCCAAGTTTGAAGTGCTGTTAAATGTGGTTTTTAAGATGGAACATCATTTAACTAGTTCACACTTTAATCTCTGGAACCCTTAAATTGAAATAAGGGTAAAATTAGAAAGTGCTTGAACAGTATTATTAGTGTCACAGAATGATTCCAGCTTGAAGACACATACAATCCCATATATTCACGGAAAGCAATAATGTCTTCCAAGATCATCCACAATACTCAGTTATGCTAAACCAAGCCATATTTTCTCTCTCCCTCTCCCTCTCTCTCTCTCTCACACACACGCATACAAATAAGTGTTGTAAACTCCTACTTACAACACTTCCAAAACTGCAAACATTAATTTTTGGTCCACAATTGAGATAAATTAACACTCAGGTCTAGTAAGATACAATTTCCCAGGCACTAGAGATCAAACGTTTGGTCTAGCTGGTGAAAATGTCCCTTAATCTACATTTTCAATACTTTCTGGTGGTTTTGTTATGCTAATGTAAAGGCAACAACAAATAACAATTTACAAATGTCCTAAGATCTTTAATTTTTTAAAGATGTATATAATAGTGTCCCTATTTAAGATGGCTGTCTTCCGGGTTGTAGCGCCGTGTAGTCTGGTAGATTACTGGTGGAAATCTACCAGACTACATGTTGCTACAACCCAGAAGACTGCAATCTTCAGACTCTCTGCTGTGAAAACCTCAAATCCTACATAGTGTCTCCATTGTTTATCATCATATAATTCTTGCTATTGCTGTTAAATAGATGCGGTCTGCTCGTTGGCAGGAGGAGGAATTGCTGAAGACACTACTTACAGCATAGGCCCGCAAAAAAGAAAAGGCTGATGATGATAACAATTTTGAAAATAATTATGCTGAGCAATTCACTTAAAGATTACGTTGCTGGGCAGTGTTACCGATTCTTTTATCCATTTTGTAGTTCATAAAATAAAAGGAAACTGGTGCTCCATCTTGTAATAAAAAATTTAAAAAAACTGAAAATATTTACCACATTAGCTAAAATTAGCAATATAAACAAGCTCTCAAAGTGAGGAACAGTTATTTTCATTACTTTTACGTGACATAGGTAAAATTTCCTAAATTCGGAAAATCTGAAAATGTTACTACTTACTTAAAACCTGAAAAACATTTTCCTCATTAACACCACAACATAACTGTAATAACAGACATCAATAGTAACAAAATACTGTAATA